TTGTGGCGGCGCGGGTCGCTTCGTCGTTTAGCGTAGCTGTTGGATAGTTAGCTCTTTAGCTTGTCGTTGTTGCTTGTCGTTGGTGCCTGGCGGGTAGCGCCGCTCAGTGCGTAGCGTTGGACACACAGACATAGAGTAGTCCATTTCGCTACATACTGTATACATTTGGCGTAGGCCGGTCTGCATGATTGCATATTACCGGCTCAGCCGAACAGGCGCTACCCCCCACGGGGACGTTCTGTGACGCCTTGCACGAGCCACTTGCCAAACTCGTGCCTTTCCATCTCATCTCATTCGCTGCAGTGCACTGCTGCTCATTCGCAAGTTCTCGTTGATAGCAGAGAATGAGCGTCTCTCTTTCCCATATCAATGATCATAATATGGCTGTGTCCAGCTGCTGCGGCCGTGAGGAGCCATCAAATGGCACTTCCTATTCTGCCAGCACAGCAGCTGCTGAGCGGAAGCCCGCGGAGGGGGAGCCTGCCGCTGCTGCGATAGAAGATGGGGCTGGTGTGGGGAATAGCAGCCAAGGGGCAGACACGAAAGCGGCCGTGCAGGCCTCAGTACAGCGATACTATGGGGAGGTGCTCCAGGACAGCAGTGACCTCAAGACCAGCGCATGCTGTACGCCAAACGCTCCCCCAAAGCATGTACGGGATGCTCTCCGCAATGTGAGTGGTTGCAATAGTGCACCTTCAAGCGGGTTGAACCGCTTACCACTTCCTACTTAATTTGTGTGCTGCCAGTGGACAATGCCGGCAGGGCCAGGGCATATGCAAGCAGAGGGGCAGCAGCGGTTCACATTGATGTGGTGTGTCCGGGCTCTGGTGTGTTAAGACAGTGTTAAGACAGTCAAGGAGTTCTACTGCCTGTTGCTCTGTTGTCTGAGTGCGGCTTGCGGGCCTGACTGGCTGCTGGTGCAGGTGCCGGACGAGGTGGTCGCCAAGTACTACGGCTGCGGGTCACCCTTACCAGCAGGTGAGCATCTGCGCCTCCCTCTGGGCGTGCATGAGGGGGATGCCAGTACTGGCCCAGCCAGTAGAGCAAAGAGACACCGGTCGATAAAGCCTCTCTGATCAAATTAATGAATCTTATTTCTTCCTCTGCTGTGGAATCCAAGTCAGCTGAGGATCCAAGTCATGCAAGATTGCTTCTGCCTGTGGTCCTCAACTTCTGTCGCTTGCTGTCCATGCAGGCATAAGTGAGGAGGCGTGCGGGGGCCTCTCTGTCTTGCAAGCTGCTGCTGGATCATGTGCCTTGATCGCGCTCAGATAGCGAGCAGCGCTGGCCTGGCAGATAGCAGAGGATCTCCTGGATTGAAAAGGTCCCCATCCCAGTTGCAGCCTGCTCTTGCTGTGGCCGCCATGCTGCCTTGCAAACTCCTGATGATGGAGTTGTGTCCCCCTTTGTGTGTGCGCCCACCTGTTGCCGGTCTGCCTGCCTGCAGCGGGGCTGCGCGTCCTGGACCTGGGCAGCGGCAGTGGCCGCGACTGCTACCTGGCAGCGGCGCTCGTAGGACCCTCGGGGCGAGTCATTGGGGTGAGCCCTCCATGTAGCCCAGCCTGGCTGGGCAAGCCACCGCATTGCAGTTTGTGCGGCCCTTGCTGCTGCGTGCTTGGTCAATAGCAGCAAAGTCAGGAAGTTGAACACGAGAAGGTGGGGGGGGAGGAGTTGCACAGATAAGCTGCCCTTGGCGCCTATGCTTGAAGGGCTGCTTGTGGCGTGCCTGCCTGAATCGTGCTGAATTCTGGGACGGCGGCGGCGGGCGGGTGCAGGTGGACATGACGGACGCCCAGCTGGCGGTGGCGCGCAAGTACGTGGAGGAGTACACGCAGCGCCTGGGGTACAGCCAGGCCAACCTCAGCTTCCGGAAGGGCACCATCGAGGACCTCCAGCAGGCAAGGCCCACGCAGACCAGCGCCGTCGCTGCGCATAGTCATCTTCTAGACTGATGCTGGCTTGGAGCCTATTTTTGGGGATGAGAGTTTCAACATATGATCAGCCTGCACAAGACTCCTGCTCCTATCGCGGGGCTGAGCCGCGAGGTTTGATGGCGCAGGCGGGCATTGCGGACGCGTCAGTGGACCTGATTATCAGTAACTGCGTGGTGAACCTGTCGCCCGACAAGGCTGCCGTGCTGCGCGAGGCGTACCGCGTGCTGGCGCCCGGAGGCGAGTTCCACTTTTCGGATGTCTACTGCGACCGCCGCCTGCCCGCTGCCGTGCGCCGGCATGAGGTCCTCCTAGGGGAATGCCTTGGCGGCGCGCTCTACGTCAACGACTTCAAGGTATGCCCGCTGCGCCTGGGCCGAAGTGCGGACATGACGCGACCTGCTCGTGTGGCAGACATCAGTGGCTATCCCACCCAAGAACGATATCAAAGACACCTCTATCCTCATGCTTGGTTATCCCATGGTTTGAGCTCAGATTTTTGATGGCGTGATCAGAGCATCAGGGCCCTTTCTTTCTTCATATGTCAAAAAAGCTGGTGCTCGCTTTGCTTACGCTCCCTCTCCAGTTTTATGGTCCTGCCCCGGCAGCGTGCCTCACCCCCCATGCGCTGGTGTGCAGCGGCTGTGCCACGACGTTGGCTTCCTGGACCCGCGCGTCCTCTCCTGCCACGAGGTCCAGGTGAGCAACACAGCGATAGAGCTTGTCGCCACAGGTCTGGCGGACCGTTAGGATGGGCTTACTTGCTTGTTATGGCCATCTTGGCGAATGCGTTGCTGATTGTGCTGCGCGATTGTCGCTTGCCGTCTCCTCTTACTCCCCTTACGCGCCCGTATCTCACGTGGGGCGTCACCGGCGCAGGTGACGGACGCGGCCCTGCGGGAGCTGGTCGGGGAGGCGCGCTTCCACAGCGTCACCTACCGCCTCTTCAAGCTGCCCGGCCGGCTAGAGACCGCGTGCGAGGACTATGGACAGGTGGGGGCACAGGGCGAGCAGTTCAGTGCTTCACACTCACAGTATCGAGGACGCCTCCTCCCAGACTGCGGTCCTGGCATGCCTGAACCACGCCAAACGTTCAACGGCTGAGACTTCGGTTGAAATCAACTTCATCTTAATCATTTGCACAACCTTTCAATGAGGCTCGGGGAGACACGTGCTTAGACATCCGGTCCTAACACACTCTTCCAGCAGATATGGCTACTTGTAGCAGCACGCTTCTCTTCCAAGAGGTGACGTGAGTGACGTGAGCTCTTTCTTGCTCGCCCCACCGTGGTACAGATGGAGTCATAATTGAAGTGCTTGCATTGGGCCCTTGCATATCACCAAAGCGCGCCCGGTTCTGCGCATCCTCCCTCGGAACGCCTTTATGGGGGAGGCCCTTGTGATGCGCTGGCGGTGGCTTGCAGGTGGCCATCTACAAGGGCAGCATTCCGGAGAGCGGCGCCGCGTACCAGCTGGACGACCACCACCGCTTCGAGAAGGGCCGCCCCCACCTGGTGTGCGGCAACAGTGCAGCGATGGTGAGCGGGCCGCAGAGAGGGCAGGACAACATGGGCCGGCAAGCAACGGTGGCGATCACACCTTCTGTATTGCCTGCCACGTGCACGATGCGCGCCGATGGGCGCACTGCATTGTTCTTCTGTTCGCGTGCTGCACAGTCGTTGGCGATGGTCACCAGTGATCATCCAGGAGTTGCATGTAGTGAGGCGCATGCTGACCGGAGTCGTAAGTGCAGGTCGGGGAGAGCTGGCTGAAGGACCACTTCGAAGTCCTTGGAGACCGCCTCACGCACTACGGGGCATTCGAGGCTTGCAAGGAGGACTTTAAGAGCACAATTTTCGCTCCACAGGGCCTCGGAAACTGCTGTTAGATGCTGAAGCGCGAAGGGACTCATTGTGCAATAATTTGTAGATTAGCATTTGGGTTTAGGCAACAGGTTACAGGCTTATAAGGCTCATGGTATCCGATTCGTTAGCTAGTCCGATTCGTTAGCCTGGGCGGTTGCTGTCTAGTCTAGTAGGAAGCAGCTTAGAGGTCGCCCGGCGCACATGGTAAACATGCTCCAGGAGATTTGAAAAGGCATTGTCAGAATCCGTAAGCAAGAAGCGTGCAGATTCGCTTGCAATTCAGATCCGAAGTGACGCGTTTTATTGTTGTTATAATTATCTATTGACACGCGCCATTTCTTTGCATAGCGCATGCAGCCAGATGATCAGGACGTTCAGGGATATCTGCATCCAAGTACGTAGGGAAATGCTAGCTGTCCCTCTCATTCTGCACACTTATTGGCAAAGGATCGGGTCAAGGATACCAGGCCCTGCTCGTCCATAGTCAATTTCGCGTTCATGTTTATAGGGCCCGCCCCTGAGCCCATGCAATATGCATTTGGGTGGGTCTCATGCATGGTCGCTAAGTCATATAGATGCATCCCCATGCATGATATGCCGATCTCTTTCATGAACGTCGTAGCCACGTGCATGGGCCAGATAGGCTTCCGGAATGGCCATGGCAATAAAATTCAATCTGAGTTTTGACCGCCTTAGTATAGCTAGCTACAATCCGAGCTGGCCCGCGCCATCATTCATAGATCGAACCCTGAAACCCTAAAAATCGTAGTTTTTCAGCGTTGTCTTCAGCTCCCGGATCGCAAGTTCGGTAAAGTTAAATTTGCAGGAGCACCTTGAACGTAAAAGTCATCCCGAAAATCTTCAAATCCATATTCGATCAAATTTAATTAATGACATATCCTCGCGAGATCTTGGCATGTTACCGCGGCCGGGGTTAAGGTTTTAGGGTTTTAGGGTTTTTAGGGTTTTAGAGTTTTTAGGGTTTTAGGGTTTTAGGGTTTTAGGGTTTTAGG